GTCAATTGCTGAGCGACGTGAATTTGCGTGGAGCTGGAAAGCTTCTGGGTTTTGAACCACCAATATGTCCTAACCCCAGTTAATTATTTAAGTGTGTAACAGGACTGTTCAAAGAGGAACTTACATTACTGATGAGACACGTCACCGGGGCAGAGCTCTGGCTAGAGAGGGGTGAGCTCTCTGGTTTGAGTAACTAGGAAGGGGAAATAGCAATGATAATGCTCAACACTTTTACCCTGGATTTTTCCCGAATGTACCTTATTAATGTGACTTTTCCTGGAGTGGGGACTTCAGATTGTGCATGATGCTACTATGTATCAGGAACTTAATTTTCTTCACAGGGCAATTAACATAAGTAGTCATTCAGCACCTGGTTTTGCAGAATTGGTACTAGAGTTTCTTTTTCCTACTGGAATACAAGAACTACTTAGAGTTTTTGTGACTCATTGTCTTTATTGTTTATACTGTTTTTATTCTGGTTTGCGAGCTTCCTCACCACCCCCATTAGTATTTTGCCTTGAAGTTTGAATTAAATAAAGAAGATATACAGTTTATTTGCTAATAATTGCCTGAATTTGATTCAGCACTATGCAATAAGGGTGCAATTACTTTGCTAGATTTTTGGCCCCAGTTATGAAAATATTTACTCGTTACTGTTTTTTAAAACATCTTTTACCACACTGTATCTAAACCTTGAAATAGGCCTTGCTGCAATATTACCTAAAACCACTGATTTAATGTACTTTTTTATGATAGCGAAAGCTTGCTATTTCTGTAATTTTTTTTTCTCTTTTCTGTTTTGTGAAAAATAAGCTCTGTGGAGGAAGTCTGAAAATGACAACATAAAGTAGCTGTCAAACTACTAAATGCAGACTTTTTTGCTAAATCTTCTTACAGGCGGTTCATTCAGCAGTTGAAATTACAAAGCCTGAGAGCCAGGTGATTTAACCAAAAGGCCGCTTTTCTTTTTGAAGTGCAATTCTAGAATGCATTTTCTATTCAGTAGTTGTTTCTCACGTGTATTGCTTTAACAAAAATGTTAACCTGGCTTTGACAAATCACTGTAGCTAGATTTGCAAGTGCCATCTCCATTCCCAGGACTTTTTCTAAATAGGTCATTAATATAGAAAATTGCTTTGTCTCCTCTTTCTTTGCTGTGTATTCACTTTCTTCAGTGAGTAATCATTGAAATCTGTACAATGCTCTATTTAAATAAATAGAAGAGCAGTGTTTATGTGACCAATCTGGCCGTTCAAAAAAGATCAGGAAAATATACCAGTTACTGAAATACATAGTTTTCTAAAGCAGAACATTTTAACTGGACTCAAGGAAGAGGATTGGAGGAAAAAACATATTGAGTGAAATAATTGATATTGAATATGGCAACAAACTTAATTTTAAATTACTTTTTCTTTTTATATTATGTTGTAATTTTGTTGTTAGTATAAAACCACGTGACTGCAAAAAAACATACTGATTGCCTGTGAAACTTGTTAGTCTTGGATTACCTTTTTTTGGTGGAAATTGCCTTTCTAAACACAAGGGGTTTGGGGTTCTTTTTAATAATGCTGAGGGAAACCTAATCAGTTTTGTGATTTCAGTGTTTGATTTGCTTTGCCCATCCAGAAATGTTCTCCTTTGGGTTTTTTGGTCAAGCAAAATATAAAACAGTTTCTTAAATAATGTACAGACGTGCCCAGATTAAATTCCCCTGGGCCAGGTGTTCTGCATATAATCCACTTCTGGATATAATTGGCAGAATATATTAGAGAGAGAGAGATTTAGGGAGAGAGAGAGAGAGAGAGAGAGAGAGCGAGCAACCTTCCTAAGCGACTTGTGCTAGTGACAAGTTTAAGTACTGGGAAGGCTGTCGGATCCTGGTCAGAATGTGAACCTGTATGCTGTGGAGATCTGCTGCTGACACTGGGATTTCTTTGGGTTTCTCAAAGCAGCCAGTATGGGGTTTGGGATTGTGATGAGCTCTTCCTTCTTTAAGTGCTCTTCTAATCTGGCACTGGCTAGAGGTGTCTCCCCATTTCAGATATAAGTGGTGTGAGGGTATAGTTACTCCACTGAATGAAACAGGTACTGCTTTCCTCTTGGAGCTTCATCAGCTTAAGGCTTAACCTGTTTTAAGTGCTACATTTGAAACCTTTTTTGAAGCAGCTGAGTGTAAATGGTAGCCTTGCACGTAAATGCTGGACATGATGCCCTTTTGTAAGAGGTAAGAGCTCCTTGGAAGCTCCTGTTGGTTAACTTGAGGATGAATCTTGTGAGGTATCTCACATGAGCAAAACTTTTGTCCTTCAGAAAAAGTTGTCATTGACTTAGGGAATACTTGTCTGGTTGTATTGGATTTGCTGCTTGTTAAGAAATTTTGTATCTCTTGGGTTTTTTTAGAATTCTCCACATAGTAATTGGTGTTGACAGCACTGATAAACTAAGAAATACCTTGTTATCATCAGTTTAACAAATTGTTTACTTCTCCTTTTAAAGCTTGTTACAGTGCTAAGTCAGTCCACCTCGGAAGTTTGTCAGAATGCAGAAGACAAGTAGAAAAGAAAACCATGATCTAATAAAAATATATTGGAAAATATATATTCTGTAATTGTTCTAAAGTCCGGATACAAGTGATGTAAAAACACTCAGTGTTAAATCGTCTTTGCAAATCAGTGGTTTAAAAATGCTCTTGTGTTGTTCAGGAATGTAACAGGCCTATTCTCACTGTTTTTAAAGCAAATTCTGGCATGATTTCAGATTTTTTTTTTTTTTAAATATTCCGAGAGGGACAGCTCTTTGACATCTGGTTAAAATTGCACGGAAGAAATGCCAGAATCACTTGCTATCTTCCAGATAATTGTTTTTCTGTAAGAATTGGAAACTGTGTTAGTAACAACTCCACTATTAAGCCATATGGATTGTTTCCTTTCACCATAAATAATTGCTTATCCCTGAAGGTGTCACCACTGGAGTGAGGCAGAAGGTGGGATTTTAAGCGATGTTATGTTGGGATTTTTTCCTTGAAAAACAGTGTTTTGCCATAAACAGGACTTCAAATGCCTGTTCTTTTACCCTCCCTAAAACATAATGCTCTTCTCCCTGCTTTATGGTGCTACGTAGTCGTAGGATTTGCCTTGATCCTTTGGCAGGGCATCTCTGCTCCCCAAAGGACTGTTAAGAATAGTCTGAAGAGCCACCATTTCTTGTAGGCACCAAAGATTTTGAAAGTTTTCTTGATCTTCCCTGCTTTGTGTGTGTTGTATATGGTGTTCTGCATGATAATATCCACTCTGGGAAATGGTTTGGTGTTTTTTAAATGTGGGCAGAAATAATATTTTGCAAACAGTTTTGACCTGAGCACGTAGTATATATTGGTTTCCTGTTGGAGGCAGTAGTCTTAGCGCTTTAAGTAGACCACTTTAATCGCGAGTCTTCCTACAATCCATGGACCAAGAATTTGTCTTCACCCTTTATTCCACAACACGCTGTTACCTAAAAATGCTGTTCTCAGCCAGTAGTATTTAATAACAAGTCATCTTTTGAATTCCAGTTCTGTCAGACAACAGAAGAAAACAGAGTGTTATGCCACTGGAAAGTAAATTGCACTATCTTACTGGATATAACAGATGAGTGACTCTGGAGACAGGGTGGTGTGTGTGAGAATTGCGATGTTAGTGAACTTTTGGGTCTTTCTCTCTCTCTCATAAGTGGTAGAGCATGACTCCTCACAGTGAGGAGGCCCAGATTTACAAGTGAATAGCTATGTTTTTAAAAAAAAAAAAAAAAGCTCCAGATGATCTTCAGGCTTCACAAAAGTGGTCATGTCAAATGATGTCTTCTCAGTTTTCTGCAGAGAAGAGAATCTGGTCTGCCAGCTAACATGAATTTAAATCTGTAATTTTTATCATGGTTTCACATTTTGTTTCTTTTTTCCTCACACATGCACTTGATGGGTTAATGAAACTGCAGGGGCAGGAGGAGTATGAATATAAGTCCAGAAATGTTTAGCATTCTGAGAATTATCAAAAGGATATCAATTTTTTTGCAAAGTAAACTAAGAAGTGGTTCATGAATGCCTTATTTCACTGTCAGAGTTCATTCTGTATCTAGCATCTTCTTCCTGACTCAGACACGTAAGAGAAACTTAGGACAGTCTTGACAGAAAACTACAGAGCTGTAGCTTTATGGGTGTTAAGGGGAAAAAACCCTCAATACCAGTGAAAGATGGCAGGTGGAATATTAAACAACAGGTTAGAAAATCCTTTAAAAGACTGAGCAACCACTAGACTACAAGAGAAGACAAATTACTAGGTGTAGCTGGATGATATTTTGATTAAAACATGAAGCTGCAGGAATGCTTAGCTTATGAGTGAAGGATAAACAGCTTGGGTCGGCAGTATCAGTTGCAGGGTTGTAAGGTGGGAAGGCAGACTGAAACATTTTGAGCAGTGGAAATACAGAAAAGAGTACAAGCCTTTACATCTACAGTGTGGGTCTGTGAAGGGTGAGAGCCGCTGCCGTTTGTCTCTACGCAAGGGTGGGTGTTACCTGTTCACCCAGGAAATCTCGGATACGGTTCCCGTGCACGCTCATTACCCTGCCCTTTGCTGAGTATTTTAACATCTAGTGGAGAAGCTTGATCAGAAATGGCAAAACCCACCAAAAAAAAAAAAAAAAAAAAAAAGGAAGATGTGAAAACTGTAACTGGCTGAAAAATGGTATTTACCCATCATGTTAAGACTTTTATTAACTTAATGAAAATACAATGAAAAGCATGACAATGAACTGCTGAGAAAAAAACGAACTGAATAACAATCAATTAATTAAATATAATTCCAGTAGGAGAAAGATTATTGGAATTACTATTCGAGAGGTTAAAAAAAAATAATACTGAGGCAATCCATTTGCAGACAGAATACTGGATTATGTCCTGAATATTATAAATAGACTCCATAAGTTCCCATTGCTTGTAAGAAAAGGCACAGCAAGCCTTGGCAAGCATGAAGGTAACGTTTATTTCTGTCTTCAAGTTCAGCTTTACTACTCTCTTTTCTTGCTGCTGCTTTATCCTTTCTTTGTACTAATACCTCTAGACAACTACATGCACTTTAAACTCAGTGGAGACGGTTGGTTTTTTAAATATAATTCAAAGGACTTCCAGCATCACATTACAATCTGGTTACATTGAAAAGAAAATACAAACCTACCTCAATGAGGGAATTGCGCTAACTGTCTCTTACAAGATGCAAACTCCTAGGTGAGTGTTAAATCAGCTGAGCAGGTTCGGGGGGTTTGGGCTGGCCCTTGGAACAGGATTTAGGAGCTCTTGGACACCTCGGTGAGCCCCGGGGGCTTTGGCTCCAGGCGGGACCTGGCAGCCTTTCTGAGAGAAACACTCGTCTGTCGTTTGCCACGGGCTGACTTCGACCAGCTTCTGCTGCTCCTGGGGCTGTGCCGTGCTAGCCAAGGCGCCGCGCTGCTGCGGAACCGCCTCACGTGCCCCGTTCCTGCCCTCGGCTGACCTCAGATCTCTTCCAGGATTAAAATTAGCTCAAAAAGCAGAGTTACTTTGGATGGAGTTAAACTGTACCAGGTATTTAAAGGCAATTCAAGTCATTTTGCAGGTTATTGGAGTATTAGGGCATAAAAAAATGTTAGACCTGATGGATACTGTAGGTTAGCAGAGTGCTTAGCAGCGTAAGCTGGAAGAAATTGATCTGAGCAAAACTGTACCACCTTTGGTTTATTTTCCTGTCTTCCCATACATCTCACTTCTGTGTTAACTCTTCCAATGAATCATAAAAGTGGAAATCTAAAAATTGAGTGTATGAAGTGGCATATTCTAAAAAAGAGGTGGTTTTGTGTAACTTCTATGTGTATGTATGTTGTCAAGTGAGTATTGATAGCTTTGAAGTGCAGCTCACATTTCAATACAATTCAGAAATAGAAATCTGATTTCTGTCAACTGTTAATTAAGAAACAGTATTTTAGGAAATCTTTTAGGAGCAATAACAGCAATACCAATCTTAGACCATCCTCACTGCAGAGTAACACCAGTCTTTCATGGGCTGGTCTGGCAGTCGTAGTGGGAAAAATCTTCATTCACCTGGAAGCAAATCGGTGAAAGGTACAGAAAGGAGAGAGGAGGGAGAGGTTGAAGACTGGCAGCCAGTGCTGAAGCCAGAAACCTGCAGTAAATGCAGTTCTGCTCCTGCTCGCCTGCCCCGACACGTAGCGGCTGAGGCTGGGAGCACAGGGCCTGCCAGCGGAGCTCTGCTCTCCCCCGGTGTGACAGCTGTAGCCATCCAGGTTGGAGAACTGTCAGACTTTACACTAACTGCTTCCCCTCTGCCCGCCCCAGAAGCCTTTTAATGCAGGTAGACACCACTGGTGATGTCTGGGGAGCGTTCTCTTCCAATTACTCTGTGACAAGCAGTTCTGCATCCCCCTGTGTCTGTAGCTTGTTAAGCTCAAACACGATTTTTTTCTCTTAAAAACGTTATTTGTATTATTTACTGTTCAGCAAGTGTTAGCCTCTAGATTTCTTCATTCTCTCTGATAATCTGTTCCCTCTAACAGGTCACTTATCTTTTTTCTTTTGCTAATCTTACTTGCTCCTTTTACATTTCTTTATTTGGCTCTGAGGCGATGCTTCCTTGCCTCTCTCTGTGCAGGCCCCGACCACGTTTTTCACCAGTCGTACCTGGGGGTAGCGCGTTGTCACTGTTCGTCCTGCTGTCACGTCTTGCAGTTCAGCACCACGTGCTGGGGAGATCCCAACGTCTGATTTCCAGGCTGATTTAGGAGCACATAACCTGCATTTACCCCCTTCGATGCTCTGCTTCATTCCCATCAACTGGAGGAGACCATGCAACGTCTCCCACAGCTTTCTGCAGCTGCAGAATGAAAGGCTCTGTAGAGTAGCAGCGTGTGGCAGGGGGAAAGGTGTGTCACCTTTGATCTTGATTACAGGCACAGAAACGTTCTTTCTATGTTTAGTTTCCCCTGGCAATCTCCCTTACAGTTTATGCCAGCCGTCTGGCTTTGGTCCAGACCCAGTCTTTGCCTCTCAAAGCGTGAGCCTCTTCAGAGAGTTTCACAGTACTCAAAGCAGTTCGTCCTTTGGATCTCCAGAGCAGACCATGGAAAAGGTGCTGTGTATGAAAAATATTTTTCAAGGGGAGGGACAGGAGGTGGGATCATTAACACACGTTTTGTTATCAGTCTGTGTGCTGAATGTGGTGTGTTGTCCATTACATATTTGGAAAATTAAGTTAAAATCCCCTAGAAGTAGCCTAGATCCCCTAGAGCAGTCCCCTTTTTAGACCATGTTTGAAAACTGACAGTTTGACTTCCTTCTTCATTAAATGTTAAGAGGAGTGGCTTTCGACAAAAGTCTTTGAATGGCTTCAAAAAATGAGGGAGAACTTGATGTTGCTTGTGTCTAGTTAGTGCTAAGCATGAACTTCCAGTTAGCAGGTTCATTGATCTGCTGGGTAAGCCATGAAGTAACTCTGTTTTTCCAGGTTTTGGATTTTAACCGAAGTAGCAATGCGCAGCCAGCTCAGAGAGGAAAAGTTCACGGTAGCTAATTTTAGGCATATAGTTTAGCTGTTCTGAATCTCTTCGCGTTCTCCATTACCTAAGCAGAGAGCCCAGACGTGGAGATCGGTGTCAGTTAGAAATACCTAGTATGAATCCTTTGTGGGATTAAATTAGTTTGCAGGTCCAAGCTTGCTGTCATCTCAAAATCCAAACAAATGTTGGTCTCTGTCATCCCGTCCCCCTTTGCCTCCCGGTGTAACTAACCCAGGAGGCTTTGGAGATTGGAGAACTTCAACAGAATTATGACAAGTTTTGTGATACGGGGAGGTTAATATTCAGCAGTGATGTTAAAAGGCTTAGAGCACTTAGAGTGAATTTTGAAACGTCCATCCAGGCTTACAGGGCAGTCTCCTGAGTCACTGGGAGTTTTTCCCACTGCGTTGCTATTATAAAGATGGGTATTCGTAGCCTTCTGATGTGTTGGGAGGGTGTTTACTACCCATGGAAGTGCTTAGAGATTTTAGATGTGGGGATTCTGCAGAATCATAGTTTAGTTGCCAGCAATGCTTTTAATATAGTAGCTTTGAAAACAGGTAGGAGTTTACTACTCTGTATGTAGACTGTTACTAAGAACTCCTTTCCAAAAGTGAGGTTAAACAATTTTTCATTTCTGGAAAGAAATATTGCCAGACTAATATCTTACTGTAAAGCCCCAGGTCTTGCTGCTCTCCATGGTTCACAGGAGGAAAGTTTACCTAGCTATTTCCAGAAGAGAGTCCTAGCCACATTGGAACAAAACTGGAGGGACAAACCTCTCTGTTTCCGGAAAATCATAATCACCAAGGTTGTGTGTGAGAAGAGTGCGTTGGGATGCTGTACATGAGCAAATATCAGGATAGTTTGTCTTTCCTCACCCCCATTCCATTGTGAGTTATTTTGCTCGTATGGAGAAAAGGCTGAAATATTCTGCTGGGAAATAAGACTGGTGCTTGTGCACATAAGAAAGAGATATGACATATAATAAAAAAGCTTTAAAAATTCCAAAGTTAATGCGATGATGAAGAACCTTTGGTTTTTTCCTAAAAGTTTTAAGCTGCCTTGGAAGTAAAGAGTGAATGTAAATGGATTAAGTATGTTGAGCAGAACATGGAGTGATGGTTTGGGATGAATTTTGTGGTTTATCTCTACTCTTGTAATTTTTTTCATTTTACCTGCTTTGAGGTAGCATAGTGCTGAGGATACTGGGTGGAATTACTTTGGGGATTGATAGGTTCAGTTAAAGATGCCTGTAGGGAAAACTGATTTTAATTCATCCTTTTATATATTAAAAAAAAGTTGATTCATCAGATTCCAAATTTCTTAACTGAGAAAATATTTGAAAAAAGTTTCTAATACTTTTGTCCTGATGTCCCCCTCCCTGCTTACCTATTTCCATATAGCATGTTGACAACGTGCAATTTCAGTGCTGGTTGAAAATTTCAAGGTGCTTTTTCCAGTTGGTAGTCAATGAGGAAAGAGAAGCATTCTCCACTCCTCTCATCAGTTTACCTATGCATGTTGTTTACCTTCTCCCTGTGTGTTTTATCTTAAACTATAGAATTTGGCTGTTTTATGTTAAGGACTGTGGAAACATGGTAAAGGAACCCAACATGATGTTTGGATAGATGGCACTGCTAGGAAATAATAGTTGTGTCAGACAAATGGTGTTGACTTTACGTGCACGTTAAAGCAAAAATGGTGCAGAGTGTATTTTGAGCAAATGATTCAATAAAAACTTTGATAGTGTGCATGAGAGAAGTCAATAATATCTTTTTTCCCTTTTTGAAACTAAATGGAAATGTGGGGTTTGTGATTTTTGTTTGAAATAATTGTGTCTGTTAAGGAGTCACTTCTGCTGGGATGTTTACTGGTGTCTCAAAGGGTAAAAAATGATCCATGGTAGAATGGCTTGCAGATTTTTGTGGTAGTGGAATATTAGTTTTGCTACTGATAAACCTTTGTAACTTGAGGGCTACTTAATGTTTGAGTAGAGTACTGAAAATGTCATAGAATTACTCTATCAGGTCACCGATTGCTTACCTCATGGTTTGGGGTTTTTTTTACCCTTAGCTTACTGATTTCCCATAGTGTCTCAAAATTCCCCAGGGTTTTTTCCTGTGTATAATTGAGTGATAATGGGATGTAGGAATTTTGTTATTCTAGCACTATTGTCAGTCTTGGAGTAGAATTTCATTAAGATTCCATCTCCAGCGAGTTCACTAGCTTTCACATTTTAGTTCAAAATTCTTTGCTTGTGTCTTGACATTTGGTATTTGTAACTATAAAATTTCCTAGCCAGCCAGCCAGCCATTTGTAATGGCTTATAATTTATATATTCACACAATTTAGGCATGCTTTGGACATAAAACAAACATCTAATTGTGAAAATAATTAGCATGGATCAGTATTAAAGCCCAACAGCCATATTGGCCACATATGCAGAGATTTCTTTTTGTGACATTGAATCTCAATTCTCAAACATCTTGTTTTCCCCATGATTGTCAGGCAGGAGGAATAAGCTGCCTTTAAAACATTTTCACGATTACCAAATACATATGCAGATTGTTACAAAAAGGCCTTGTTTAGGTTTGGGGTTTTTTTTCTTAAGAAAGAAAACAGTTCCAAAATAACAAAAAGCTTTACGTGAACCAGTTCATCCACTTCTGTGTGTGTAATAATTCTTTGCCTGTCTGAGGACCCAGGCAGGGTCTGAGACATTACATCAGAGGAAGGTGGCAAGCTTTGGAAGAGCAAAGCAGTGTATCAGCATTGCAGGCTGACAAATTTTTTCTTATCTATCATAGAAAGTGTATTTTAGAAATGGTTAAAATTACAGACAAGGTACCCTGTACATTCCTTTGACTTGCCTGGGGTAAAACATCTGAACAGGATTCATTGGGCAATCGGTGAGGTAGAAGCTAGTCTTTTCATAACCATCTAAATTGTTTGTCCATCATCTCTTGGCCGCCTTTATTTCTAGTACAGGAAGGACAGGTGTTAGTATTGATAACCTGGTTTTAGTGTATCAGTAATTTAAGTTTTCCTTAACCTTGCAAAGAGGAACAGGGGCCCCGGTCACATGCAAGCTGACAGGTCTTGTGTCAGTGTTTAAACTTGGGCATTTTGCTCCTTGTTTTAACACCAAGGTTCGGTGCAATGTTATTGCTGTGCTCATGTGCAGGTCTAGATTTGACAAAGTGGATCTTTATGGTAAGTGGAAATGTGTAGCTTGTCTGATTATATATTTGGATTGAACACATTGTACCACTCTATAGTATTAAGGTTTTTATTTATGTATATGTGTGTATAAAAATACATATTTAAGGATGTGTGTGCGTACGTGTATGTATATATTAAGATTTTATCAGTGTTGTGCTACTAGAAGCTCATAATTCTAAGGCAATTTCTAAAGTAAGAGATCACTTAGTACTAGCGAAACCTTCATACCATCTGCTATTTTCTGTAGGTAACTGCTTAATTGCTGTAAATTCATTTTAGCAGTTTAGAGAAGGGAAGGATTTGGGGTTGGTTTTGTGTTTTCAGTACTCTCTGCATAGTCTGTTACAGAGGCAAATGGCCACATACCAGGAATTGGTGCAGAGAGAACAGGGGGATCAGTTTTTGTTCTGACAGCGTGCCTGGTGAGAAGCCTCGTGAAAATGGCTTGGGAGGGGTCAGCGCTGAAGGGTCAGGTTTGCCCGGAGCTCCGTGGCTGCTGACTTGAGAACTTGGAGGTGGTGGTCGCCGTGGTGGGCGGCAGGGTGCCTGCTGAGGAGCCCGTGAACGGGGCGGGAGGCGAGGTAGAAACAGGCCATGTGGGTAATTTTTAAAAGTGGGTCAGCTGAGGAGAGGTTGGTGTTTTCAGGAGGGAGTATGTGCAGCATGGGTGTGGGGTTTGTTCCAGTGGTTTGGGTCTGTTGAGGGTTTGGGATTAGCCACCATCCTGTTCTTTACTAAAATGAAATCTTTCCATAACGGTTTAAAGAAAGGGGAATGTAAAAATAGACATGTCCAGAAGCAGGTTAGTAACATATTTTTGAAGGCTGGAATAAATCTGTACAAAGATCTTTTTTAATAATTTTTTTTAATCAAAGAAGGTAAATCATGATCTTTATACACTAGGAAAAAACCTGCTTCAAGGGCATCTGTTAATAAAAGATGAAATATGAATTATAGATTGGGAAAACTGATTAAACTTCCTAATCACCTTTCTCATAAGAGTGGGGGATTCTTGCAAGGAATTTAAAAGAGCACATCAAAACCAACCCAGGGGAGTAGTTTTCATGTAGTCTCCAATTGCAAACTTTGAAACTAATTGATACCCTTTACTTTAAATCTTACAATTTTTATACCTGCGTCATATAATGAAATATTTGCATGGCTAGAAAGCAACATATGGATAAATGTTTACTTACAATTTTATGCCGAGTGGTTTGTTGGTTTTGTTACCATATGCCTAAAACCTGTCACAGACGTTTATAGCCCCTTATCTCTCTGCCCCTTGGTTAAAGATTGTTTAATGGCAATTATTTCTTTATTGCCACCTCCAAGGATTAATTGTGGCGTGCAGTGGTGAATAAATACCAGTTGTTTTCAAGGTTCAGTCCCAAGGGCTCTTCAGGGAGTTTAAACTGGAGGCCCCACAGTCTCTTCCTTTGCTCTCCTGTTCTCCGGCAGCAATCGTCCTCTTGCATAGGGCTGATGCTTCTGAACAGAATGGGTTCAGGAAGCTCAACTGGAAGCATTTTCTTCCGTTCTTTATTTTTGCCTTCCCTTTGGCAGAAGGGGGCTGCCCAGTTGAGGTTCCTGAAGGCTCAGCTGCGGGGAGAGGCGGCGCCGTTGGTCGGGGGCTCCGCCGGGGCTCTGTTCCTGCTGGAAGCACTGCCCGGGCACATCTTCCTCGGGCATGGCAGCATTTACTGTCTGCAGGGAGAGCACACAGTTTGGATTTTCTGCCGCTCTCTTATGATGGGAGGCCCTCAAAAGCGTGAACTGAGAAACAAGGAAGTGTTGTAGATTGTAAATAAAGTTCTGTCAGACTCTGAAACATGGCTTAATTTCTGAGTACTGTTGGTGTCAATCAAGAAGTTGTATTGTTGCATTAATACAAGTTGCAGTTTTGGTTTGTGTTCACGTCTTGAAACATCTTGATTTGCTTTACACATTACAGTGCTATTTTATTTCTGTTCTGTTTACAGCTGATATTATTTCAACAGTTGAATTTAATTACTCTGGTGATCTTCTTGCAACAGGAGACAAAGGTGGCAGAGTGGTTATATTTCAAAGGGAACAAGAGGTCAGTGACTTGAAAAACAAAAGTGCTGTTACTACACTGTTCTTGTGTTGCACAGTCTCTCTTCATCTTTTCATGCCATGAGGTTTAAATGGTTGCATTAGCCAAATTCCTAAATATCTGCCTTGTGCTAAACTTGGTGGGTTAGTTTGGTGGTGGTTCCCTTCCTTCAAAAAAAAAAAAAAAAAAAGTCCCAAAAATACAAGTGAGTTCTTTATGTATGTACCTAGTGTGCTCAGTATAATTTTGCAGGATTGCCTTTGGGCTTTCTCCTAAACTTTACACTTGATGAGGTTGATCTAAGACAGACTGTAGTGCTTTTGAAGATAATGTAAGAAAAGTTTATTAAAAGGGATACAAGTTAGGCTGCAAGGACAACGGGAAAGATTCGTTGAAAAACTGAAGGGTTAAACGTCTGATGTGTTTTGGGATCGTATGAATCAAAACCAGTGGGAACAGCTACCTCTCCAGAAACACTGGGGAGGTTTCAGTTCCGAGGGTAGGAAGACTCTCCCTCCGACAGTTGCGCAGCTTTTCAGCTGGCTCTTTGCAGCGGTACTTGGTGGTGTGATACCGCGATAATGTATTCTGTCCCTTCATCAGGGCAGATACATCACTGAGCTTTTTCTGTCCAGAGAAATACTGTGTATTGGAAAAGTGCACTAAATGCTGAAAATTAATTGTCACGCTTTGTCGTGTCTGGGAGCAATCTGGAATGGATGTTCTTTAAAATCAATACTCCACGTGGCAGTTCTCCCCCTCTCCCCGCCACTGAAGAGCATGTTTCTCCTTTCCTTTGAAGAGCTGATGGGAATTTGAGCCTTTGGTTACAAGCCTTCTCCGGGATCAGAAATACCAAAATTGATTGTGGAATTTTAATTCAGCTTGTTTGTGCATGCAGTATACTAATCTTCAGAGCTGTGGCTTTTTTCAGCAGAATCCCACTTCTTTCGCTGTGTGGCTCAAATGATGCTCAGTTAACAAACAGCTGTCTGATATTTTGCATTTCATCCCCACTGCGATATTATTTATAAAACATTTTCCCAGAGGTGACTTACCAGTTAAACTGGGTGGATTTTGAGAGGTAGTGAAATGAAAATACTATTGCTGAAAAAGCTGCTGATATATTATACTACTACACCTAGACAGCTCATAGCTCATTTATCATTTAGTCTGCTGTATAGACTTAACTAAGGCACAGAGAGATCAAGGTCAAAAGTGTCCACCTGCTCAGGATCTGACTTTCTCGATGCTTGTTTAGAGTGGAACTATTACTGGTTGGCTTTCAGCTGTCAGTGCTCAGTTGTTCTGTAAGTCAAAACCCAGCTGTCGCGTCATTTCCTCATAGTGTAGAAAAAAAAAAAGTCAGACTGTTCATACAGGAATATTCAACTGTCTCCTTGGGAGCACGCTCACACTGTAGGGAGGAGTTGGGCATAAGGGTCATTTCTGTTGTCATGTGCAAAGCTGCAGAATTTCTGGAGGGGAGGAAAAAACCTAAAATAAGCATGCAATACCTTAATAAAATGTTACAACCAGTGCTTTTAAACAGTGTGGACTTTTAGACTAGGTTAACTAGGTTAATAACAACTTAGGATAGTTATAAAATTTCCCGTGCAGTTTAATTTGGGAAGGTGGGCTGTAGTGCTGTGTATCCTGCCCTGAACTCATCTGGCATTATTTCAGCTGATTATCCCAATGAAATGTGTGAGTAAAGAGTGAGACCACTGCCTAATGCCAGAAAAGGCAGCTTCCGCAAAACATGGGTGGCAAGGTAGTGTAGATAACTATACTGAATAGTGTCAGGTGAGGGAACCCTCTCCAGAATGCTTAAGTTAAACAACAAGTAGGGAATAAAATAATAGAAAGTCTGAGTTAACTAAAACTTCATACTTGTGAGACACTGCAGGAAAAAAAACCCTAGCTGAAATAACTTCTCAACATTGCCAAGTTGAGCGTGGACGCGTAAGGGTGCCAGTGCCAGGGTTGCCTTGGCAGCCGTAGGTTGGCCCAGCAGTCCCCAGTGGTGTGTGGCACTACTGGTTTTTCCCCAGTAACGTACCACCAGCCCGCATGCGGGTGGGCTCTGCCTGCACCAATTCTTGCCTGCCTTGGCGAGGGATTTTCAGCTTCTCGAGTGATTTCCGACTGTGTTTTGGGGAGTTTGTTTTTTCAGCAGTTCTGGGTGCTGCAGCTCTACGAGGGGGGATGTTCTCCAAACATGAACTGCTATCTAGCAAAAACTTACCTGAAAAGCCATATAACTAGTTGCCTCAAATCTGATACTGCAGAGCAGTGGATACTTGTGACTTTGATCTCTGTTCCCTTCTACTGCATCTACCAAGTGAGGATAATACAAAGCAGTTTTCTAGTTCTGAGAGGGGAGAAGTTGTCAGTGTGTTTGTAAGAGTCTTTGGTACGTCATGACGAGCATTACAGAACAGCTTAGATGAAAATGTAATTCCAGCCTTCAAGTTTTTATAATAAAAAAGGTTGTCAAAGCTTAATTATAAACCTTGATGCCACTCGTGGACACAGCATGTTTTAAAATGACTAGAAGAGGAGATAGATCTGATGCTCATACTTGATCTTGCTGTGCCTTCAGCAGAATGACTTTGCAGTTGTGTTTTTATAAAAAATGTTATTTCATTACTCCATGTCCTGTGTCCTTTAACATTTGCCTCCTAGTCTGGAAACCCCACGTTATGTCCATATGCGGTGATTAGAGGAATGAGTTTTGGGAAAGGGTGGGGATGGAAATCGGGTGAAGTGCAGAAACTAACGACATGGAGTTGGTGGTTTAGAATTTAGGACCCAGCTAATTTCTCTGCTCCCGTTCTGTTGAAACCCCTTGGGAGAGGTGGTGTAGCCGAGACCTCCCCAAGCGAACCCAGGAACCCCTCTGGGGAGAGCATGCCTCTGTGCGGGGCTCCGATACGCTGTGTGCTGCCAGTACACACACGGAGAAAGATAAGTTTTCAAAAAGGAAATCTGCAGGGTTGCTAAACTAGATACAGTATCATCAAAATGTAAAATTCATCATGATCTGTTGTAAAAAGTTTACTTTCTAACTGACATTTCTTAGTCATTACTTTGTATGTACAATTTCTAATGAACCGAGTAACATCAGCTTCAAGAAATATTGTGTTTCCTTGCAGAATAAAAGCCGTCCTCATTCTAGGGGAGAATATAATGTTTACAGTACCTTTCAGAGTCATGAACCTGAGTTTGACTACTTGAAAAGTCTAGAAATTGAGGAAAAAATTAATAAAATTAGGTGGTTACCACAACAGAATGCTGCTCATTTCCTGCTGTCTACAAATGGTAAGGACACTTTATTTTTGCACGAAGAATTTTTTATGTCATTTAAATATTATCTCACCTGTGATCCACTGGGGGGGGCGGTTTTCTCTGTTTTGGGGTTGTTTTAATGTCTTCTCTAATTACATGTTTTCATTGTAATACCCTGGAAATTACTGGTTTCTGTACGTAAACATGCGAAAGCCGGAGCAGAGGAGGCACAGTTGGGGCTGTGTGCTCTGTGGGCACAGGGGCCATGCTCTCGGGTGACACACCCTCTCATCTGCCTCACAGTTTTTGTATAAACAGGTTCCCAGTATGCTGAACTCTAGCAGAAGTCTGAATTTGACTTGATCATCCTAATTTTGAAGTTTAATGTTTTTGTGAACCCAGATGAATTTTTAATAAACCCATTTGGAATTGAAACACCGTGGTTACGATGCTCTTCCTGCTTTTCCAGTAATAAACATCATGTGTGCTTTGAAAAGCAGCTGTTTAAAAGACAACAGCCGCTCTAGGAGGAGTGTAGTTACACCATTTTCACTGTCTTCCTCTTAGAATACATAAAAACGGTGAAAAAATTGCAAGTTGGAAATTGCAAGTTTTGGTGCACTTTGGGTTTTTTATTTCTTGCAGTATTTTAGCAGTGGTACTAGGTCTGTGGGAGTGTAGGGCTGTCTCGTTTTGATACACCATGGAGCAAGCTGTAAAGGTAAATGCAGAACTGTGCATGGAAGAGCTTGCTCTTACTGTCAGAGGAATGTGCTTGTTCCTAAAAGTTTGGATCACTTTTTGCCTTGTACTTACATGACTCCGGGTAAGGGCTGATAATCCTCCCTGCCACACAAAATTTTAAAAGTAGGAATGACTTCAGTCTGCTGGGCTCTGAAATGGAAATAATCTTGCACTGATTTAAGTCCTGCTAAACTTAAGGCAGTCTTTACAGCGTGTCATCCTAAATGCTTTAAAGGTAGGCAGCAGTCTGGGGGGGCGAGGTTTGGTTCCAGTTAGCTGAGGATCTCACTCAGCACATACTGACTTTGCCCTCGGAAGGACTTTGCCTGGGAGGGCCTGGAAGTCCACGGAACCCTGACACGTGCTCACACAGCCTTTGCTGTCTCCTGCAGGCACCTGGGACAAACTTGGTTTTCCTTAAGGTAGATAGTGCACGTAATTCATGAGTTTGTTGGGGTTTTTTCCCTAGTATTTGCCTGTTAAAAATAATTCATATTCATACAGGCCTTATTGGTGAGTTTTGGTAACGGGAGTGTGAAACTTCCCTTGTGAAGGGTCACTTTGGCGAACGGCAGGCGCAGGGCCTTACTGTTCAGGCAGAAACTTGTATTTTATTCAACCTGAACACTGCATTGGAGTTAAGATGGAATCCATCCTTTTTCCCCTCTCCATTTACTGATACGTTCATGCATTTCCCATCCACAGCCTCCAAGTGCATGTGACTGGTATATTTTTTGTTTGTTTTTCATGTATCAATTCTGCTAAACAATATAGCTGAAGGCCAAGTACTTCAAGTGTCCATAGGGAGGGCTCCACGTTCTCTATTACGGTGGTGTTTAAAGGACTCAGTCAGGGTCCTTTCTGTTGCAAGCAGTGGAAACCTAGATAGATAAATCATATCCACTCTGCTGACTCCATTATTCAGTGATTTTTATTTTGAATTTAATTCATTCTCAAGCATCTGAATTTTTGGTTTTAGATAAAACTATTAAATTATGGAAAATAAGTGAAAGGGATAAAAGAGCCGAAGGTTATAATTTAAAAGATGAAGATGGAAGACTTAGGGATCCTTTCAGAATCACAGCACTACGGGTATGTTTCTGCTCTTTGACTTTAAATATCTTTTTGCATGCACTTCTCTAGCTTTGTACTACCAAAGTTGTCAACTGAAATGTGTACATTAAAAATTATGTTCTGGTCAGAGTCATTGAAGACTTTTATGAAAACTTAAGACTCTTCATCATTTATATATATATATATATATGTGTGTGTGTGTGTGTGTGTGTGTGACTTAAATAAGGTTCCTCTGGAAAGCTTGAGGCAAACTTTCACGATTATAGTATTATTGGCTTCCCAGTAGTTTGTTGTTTGGTTGGCATTTTTTTACCTGGAGCATCTTAGCATCTAATAAATGGATTTGAAATTTTAACTGTTTTTTTAGAATTAACATATTTTGATCAAGACATCCTTCATCCACTCAGGATATTCAAATTGTAGAAAAAGATATACTGATTTATTGACAGCAATAAAATACAACAAAATGTTGTTATTCAAGCCTGAAAATACAGCATTTTGGAGTCTCTCTGGCTGGGGCTGCACGACTCTGCAGTCAGTTCACGGAAGGCTCATCCTGCTCTCCTCTTAAAGTAGCCCAGTGTCTTAGCACAGCGCAGGGAAGCGCAGGGACCATGTTTGTCTGTAACACGCTGAGTCCCCTTCCCGGTGGAACTGGGGTGCCTGTGCTGGTCACCAGTAAAGGCCAGGAGGCGCTGGGGTGACCCTTCTCCTCCCGGACGCTGCTCGGAGAGACTGGCAGGTAGGGGTCTTCTGCATGGCTGTGTGAATTTAGGAAGAATTTGGCTTTGATTGTAGTGATAATATTTTTTTTTAACTCAATATTGCTCATATTTAACTTGTTTGGTCTTTTTTCTAAGAACAAGACTTAAAAATTTAAGCAGGGTGCTGGGAATTCTATGGTCAGGTAGAAGGTGGGTTTATTAGAGGCAAGTTCTGAGCGACTGGAAAAACTAATGTGTACTTGAACACTTGATGTTCTTCCACTTGCTCAGCGAGGTAGCGGTAGGGTGAGTTCTCTGAACTTGGGATCACTTAAAGCAGGAGCTCAAGAAAAGAAATCATGCAGGGTAGGGGTTTTTCTTGGGGTTTTTATGTTGCTGTTACCGTAAATAGGAATTGAACTGAGGCTCCTGCTACTTTCAAAGCCAGCACCACTCTTGAGGCTGGAAGGGACTATAGAGTTGTGGGTCTTTTGTTGGGTTTTTTTGTCTTGCTTTTGCTTCAATTGAATATGAACTGAAGCTTTAGGTACACGTGAGCCTAATGCATGCTCACGTGGGAAGGGAAACCCGCTTCCTCTGCAAAGTGTCCTTCTATTCAGCGTGTGAGAGCCGAGATCTGATTGAGTGTTCTGATGAGAATACCGAAAACCACGGAAATCAGTTACACAGTGCCTTAGCCCCGTGGCTGGGAGCAGGGCACGGGTGGAATGCTGGGCTCTCAGCCTTGCCCTCAGGAGGAGCAGACCACCCGTCTGGGAGCAGGGAGAGCCCGCAACGTGCCGGAGGGTTTCACAAGGTGCCGGCTGCACCGCTGAGGGGCTCCGCCGGCTGCCTCGCTAAACGCTGCCGTACAGTCAGGATCCCCCAGCTGAGTGGGGGGAAGCAGCAGAAAGCAAGAACCTCTCTCTTCAAAGTCAGTCCTCTAAATGTGCTGCTTTTCTGGGGAAGGAAGGCTGGGCTGAGCTGCAGAGCTTGCCAGGCACTATGTTTTCCAAGAAGAGGTGATGGAATGAACCAAGTCTGAGCAACGGGTGGCAGGAGAGGAAAAACCTGACCTAGAGTTACCTCCATCTGTGAAAATGATCAGGTTTTAGAGATCTAGAGTATATGTATGTACCTTGGGCTGTTTCTGCATGCTTTGTTACACAAGTATCATCCCCATTTGCCTATAAAGAGGCAGAGATGGGGGAGAAGCAGCACTTCAGAGCTGCATCCTTTGCCTAGAGACCGTGGCGTTTCTAAGTACCACTCCTGATAATTCCCATTAATGCATTTTTGATCTCACAACCAGGCTAGGAACACTCACTTGGTGTGATAGGAAAATTGCCTAATAAAAAATAATGGATTCATTTTAATCATTACAGCTTGATGTAAACAGACTGTGAGATACAAACATGGTGAAAGCAATTAGAGAGCTCTTGGATTAATTTGTTTCTTGTTCCAGGAAGACAGATTATCTTGGACACTGTGGTAACTTTTTTCTTGGGTGGATGATGTCAGTTAGTGTTCTGTTGAACCGTGCGTGCTGGAACAGCCGAGGACGTCCTTGGGCAACCTTAAACTAGTCACTTGTGGTCAGTGAGGAGGAGCTGGAGGGAGCCTTAGCCCGCTCAACCCCGACAAGCCACGTCACCTCAGATCAGCTAGCTGTGGAAACGGGGCATCCACGGGCTCCCACCATCGTCCTGACTGCTCGGGGAGAAAACTGGGGAATTTCTTTGCAAACTGTTCTAACCAGTTTCACAAGCACCCCTCTTAAGATACGGGGGTCACTTTGAAGAGCTTGTTTCAAATTGTCATCATCTTCAGATTCCATTCTACACGTACACCGTTTCCCTGCCGGGTGAGATGCAAAGCTGCTGTGTGACAGTCACTTCTGTGGCAGCAGTGTCTGAGGCTGGGTCTGGGCAGTGATCAGAGGCAGCACCCACAGGCTCTTTTATTACTTCTCTTGCTCAGTGGGTTTGAAAAGTGTTTAGTCACTAAATCAAGAGAAATCTGTGGTGGGCAATTAATATCTGGTGAATCAGAAATCAGTTTTGTGCCAAAAGTGACTGTTCTTTTTCCTGTTTCAGGTGCCAATATTGAAACCCATGGACCTAATGGTAGAAGCAAGTCCCAGAAGGATATTTGCAAATGCACATACTTACCACATAAACTCTATTTCAGTAAATAGTGATCATGAAACGTACCTTTCTGCAGATGACCTAAGAATTAACCTATGGCATTTAGAAATCACAGATAGAAGTTTTAGTATCCTTTTTTTATTCTCTGCGAACACTGGGACACCTCCAGATTGTGTATGTGTAAGAGAATCTCTTTAATTTTACTAATTAGAGTAGATGTTTGAATCTAGATCTTAAACCTCCAGACTTTAAAATACAGGATTTTAACACAGTGAAAGGAAGCCTTCAGGTGCTCTTATTCATTCTTGAGTGCAACCATTCTTGTAATGGAAAACTGCTGGTAGAAACATCACAGATGGTTTGATTTCTAAAGAGAAATTGAGGAATTTTGCGAGCATCCTTTATTTGCGGAGTTCAGTTGACGTAAATAAGAGTTGAAAGATTTGAAAAGCAGATCCTTTGTTACTGTCAATACTTCTTTCCAAAGTTCACGGTCACTGACACCTCTCTTGTGGAAAAAAATTGAAATTTGTTTTCTATGTCAGATGATATCGTTAACTGCAGAAATAATTTTCAAATCTTTTTGCAAGCCTGCGTATCCAAAGCTAATAGTATGTCCTACACAGACAAATTTGCAGTAAAATAGAAGTTGCAGAAGTACTGAATATTGAGTAGGTGGTTTGCCATTCTCTAAAGCTGTAGGTAAGTAGATGAAGTGTGTTCAGTGTTCAATAGGAAGTGTTAAGGAGGCTTGAGAGGAGTCTGAAGCTATCTCCAGCATCTGCTAAAGCCGATTTGGAAAATCTGGATGATTTTTATTGTTATTTAAATCTGCTCTGGTCACATCACCTTTTGTAGACTGCATACAGTGGAAATTAAGATCTTGCCCTGGTTTCTACCTGGTATTTTTAACACTTTTCAATAACTATCTGCTGGAAGCGATTTCAATGAGAAGTGTTACGTGCCTTTACAAAACCTTCCCAGATATTGTAGATATTAAGCCTGCTAACATGGAGGAGCTGACGGAGGTGATTACTGCTGCAGAGTTCCACCCTCATCACTGTAACGTGTTTGTCTACAGTAGTAGCAAAGGAACGATTCGGCTCTGTGACATGCGCTCTTCGGCCCTCTGCGACAGGCACTCCAAATGTAAGTTGGGGCACGTCTTTGCTTGATGGGTTTCTGGCAAGATGGAGTGTCAAGGAGTTCTGCTTATAAATAAACATACGAGTTCTGCTTATTGGTAAAGAGCATACAAGGTAAGGGTGGTAGTTTTGTAGAATGGAACATTTTAATTGTCTTGTTCTAGGCCATCCACAAGCAGAAGTGTAGCATGAGACAATTGACGATCTGACTCTGCTCCTGTTTACCCATTTATGCATCATAAAGTGATGGGAACAAGTGCTTTTGGCACCAGTGAGACCTGTCTTCTGTCCAGACTCAGTCTTGGTGCTTCTCAAAGGTATCTGCTTATCAAATGCCAGTTCAGGGCAGTTTATTCACCTTTGTGCGTTAGAAGCTGGGCTGATGCTGCTGGAATCCATTTACTTTGTGACCATTTGCAGCTCCTAGGATAGAATTAATTCTTAAGAACACGCGCTGCGTTTGAAGCGACTTTCCAGGGCTGAGAGGTGAATGCTCTGTAGCCTGCCGAGCCACGTAAACTGCCGTAGGTGAGGAAAGCTTTGCTGAAGTGCCAGGGGTAACTGCCCGTGCCTTGCACGCAGCCTCTCGTGTCTCGTTCACTTCTGCAATAGCTGTGATTAGTTACTGTGACTAGTCCTGAGGGGTGACTTACCGTACTGATCCCTGCAGGTAAGCTCACGGTAGCGCAGACGAGCATTTCTTGTCGGTGAAAGGAAATGTCCGTGCAACAGGCAACGTAGAATGCTAGGCCACTTCATCTACGTGACTTAGTGTTGCATCAAATTACTCAGAAGTTCTTTATTTTTTAACTGCTTGTCACTGAATAACATCCTGTTAAAAGGGGTCTATTCAAAACCAAATAATTCTGGGTGGCTCCCACCCAGAATTCACGAAACGTTGACTTCAGAGACTGACTCTTCAGTTTAAATAATGCATTTCTCCATCTGCTTTCCAAAACCATACAAATTGCATTTCAAGTGTAGATACTAATATTTCATTTCAGTAGGCTGTGTTGTACAACTTTTGTTCAGATCTAAAGAAAAGTATGTTGAACAGTAGTCTCAGAATGCCTGGGTCACGCGTTAAGATGCTGCCTTTGGGATGCTGATGTTTTCATCTGCTCTTGTTCAACGTGATTTGTAGATCAGTTGTAATGGTTACTGTACCCATGCGCTGGTTTTTAACTTTTTTTTTTTCTCACAAGACCTGTGAACTGTGGTTTGCCGATGCTGTGCTCCAGCTGAGAATGTTGGAGATAGGCATCTAGCAGTCTGAGGACTGAGAGCATAACATTGTTTAAAAAGAGATTATTTATGAAAAGCATTTAACAGCAACTCTCTTTGAAAAGAAACTAGTATATTGATTTAAAATTTTCCAAGTACCAAAAAATGTTCGAAGCTGTAAAACTTGGTGTTGGTTTCATTTGTAATTGTGTCTTCTATCTGCAGTTTTTGAAGAACCTGAAGATCCTAGCAGCAGATCATTTTTTTCAGAAATAATATCATCGATATCTGATGTAAAATTCAGTCACAGTGGTCGATACATGATGACAAGAGACTACCTTTCTGTTAAAGTCTGGGATCTCAATATGGAGAACAGGCCTGTAGAGACCTACCAAGTATGGGGTTCAAGTTTCCTTAAAGAGCTCTTCTTTTCCCTTTTTTTCTTTCTCTTTATATCTAATACCGATTTAAATGTTCCAAAAAGGTTCATGAGTACCTTCGAAGCAAGCTTTGCTCCCTTTACGAAAATGACTGCATCTTTGACAAATTTGAATGCTGCTGGAACGGTTCTGATAGGTAAGTCGGGGGGTTCGTTTTGGTTTGGGTGGTTTGTTTTTCCTTCAGCGTTCAGAATTGGGTTTCCAGTCTTGAAAGCCATAAGCAGTACGTTAAGGATGTCATTAGTTACAGTCAAACCAACTGTTTGGTTTATTTGTGGGGTTTTGGGGGGGTTTTTTGCAAAAAGACTTAATTCTTCAAAAAGAAAGTGGAATAAATTTTTGTCAGTTTGCTTCTAATGTGGATTATTGTTGAAGTTTTATACAGGCATGACTGGCTGTTTCAAGCCATGAAACTGCGACTCGGTTTCATTCTTAAAGTGCACACAGGAAGATGTGTTCAGTGTCTGGGGGTTGAACCCCGCCGAGTTTTCTGCGGCTAAAGAGGATAAGGCTGTGTTCGACAACTGCTCGTATTGGTTGCCAGCAGTGGAAGTGCAGGCCTTGCCTGCAGGTTGTAGAAGCATCCTTGTGAGATGGCAGAGCCTCTGTATGGGCACAGCTGCTCTGGGTCCCCTGTCACTATCTGTGGTGACCTTGGCTACCTGGTAAAATGCTTTCAGAAGCCACGGGTGAGGTTGTGGCAGATCTGGACCTTGTATCTGGATGCTTTGGGTTGAGTTGCCTTGGGGATTCTTACTTTCTGATGTAGAAGACTTGTCCCTGGTTTAGGTATTTCAGATATGTGTCTGCTACCAAGTGCTTGCAAGCTGTTCAGTGAAAAGGTCTCAGTTTTGATTTGATGGCAGCAGGATCAGCCTGCAAAACAAGATTTGCCCTAAATCTACCCAATATTGAAGAACAAGAGACGTAGTTGAGTGATCAGGGAAGTCAGATCTCAGCTGTGCCCAGGAGGCAGCGGGGGCAGTGCCACCGGCCTCCCTGGCTGCGCAGGACACGCACCTGCTCGCTTCTGAACTTGGCTACCCAAAGGCTGCGAGTGGCTTTGAGTTACTGAGGGGAGAAATCGGACTGCATCAGTCAGTTCACAGAACGAAAGCTGCGTGATATTTACGGTATCTGACATCAAAGGCATAAAAGAAGTGGTGTGTGGTTTTCGCTCAGCTAAAATGCAAACAAACTGGCCTTTATTTCTGTTTTTTCCAAGCAACTCCAGTCAGTCTTTTTTGGAGGGGAGGGGGGGGAAATCAAAGCAAGGTCATCTCATTTGAACGTATTATAAGAACTTAAGGTTTCGTGGAAGTTGTGATGTTCACCTCCTTTTGAAAACAACAAAAAATTATTCTCTCGGTGTGTCCCTCAGCACAGGCTGAGCGCTCGGTGGCAGTGCCTCGTTCTCCTCCTGGCCACGGATTTTTTTTAACACCCCAAAGACAACGTGTGTCAGCAAATAAGGCAACAAGGGTGGGGTGGCTGCGGTTTTGACAATCTGTGGGACTTCTGCCATGGGGGAAAAAACGGCTTTTCCAGTTTGGTACAGAAAATAATGACCCATTTGGCCTCAATTTCAGGCGGTTTTGAGCACTACAAACCGGGGCAGTGAGATACATAAAAGCATTTTCAGATGCAAACTTTTCTCCCCCTTGTTCAAAACAAATTTGGCACCATAGAGAAGCGGAATTGTTTCCGCGGGGCTGCATCAGGCATTTCCACAGGGGGTTGCTTTTGCTGCCTCAAGAGATGAATCCACGGGGTGCTCGTGGTCGAGGCGCAGCGGGGTCAGGGCCTGGAGCAGCGACGTCCCGGCCCTGAGCCCGGCGTGCCAGAGAGACACGGGGGTGCAGCACGGGCTCTGCAAACCTAACAGGATTTGCCTTTCTTCCGCTTTTAAACAGCGCCATCATGACCGGATCTTACAACAATTTCTTCAGGATGTTTGACCGCACCACGCGGCGGGATATCACGCTAGAAGCCTCCAGGGAGAGCAGCAAACCTCGTGCCATCCTAAAGCCGCGTAAAGTCTGTACAGGGGGGAAAAGAAAGAAGGATGAAATAAGCGTTGACAGTCTGGACTTCAACAAGAAGATCCTCCATACAGCGTGGCATCCCATGGAGAACATCATTGCTGTAGCTGCCACCAATAATTTGTATATATTCCAGGACAAAATTAACTAAAGATGACTTACGTGGGGACAGAGTCGTCGTCTTGCATAGTTAAGCTCAGTTGTTTATCTGTCAAAGAGAAGGCCTTGTTGTCCTACCAGTGAAGAACATTGATGCACTTACTTCCCTTGAGATAAAGGAGAGGATCTGGCCTGGTTTTTTGAGTTCCTGGGGTAGTTCTGCCTCCGGGGAGGGCAGGGAGCGTCGGCCGCAGGTTTCTGGGAGAAACCCTCCAGAGGCAGAATCGATGGACAGTGCTCAATAAGGCCAATACTCAAAGCAAATGTATTTATTTAAGTCTGAGCCTTCCTTTCCAGTTTATAAGACCAAAAAATTTAACACCCAAGAAGAAAAATTGTCATAAAAATGTAATTTCTATCTCTCACGCTCTTTCTCTGCTGTAATATTTGGGCCTTTCAAAACATATATCGTGCTTAATGCCTGTAAACATTCCTCCTCTGGCCTGTATCTAGGCTTAGGTGTTTTTACCTTTGAGCACTTAGGTAGGTCTTGAGTTGGGCTCGTAGACAGGTTTCCATGAATATTTACTCACCAACTGTATCTATAACCACACCTTCTGGTGTAAACCACTTAATAAAATAACAAGCTATAAAAAGTGTTTTTAAATCTGAAGGTATGTATTCAGTCTTTTTATTTTTTTATTGCATGTAACTGAGATTGTGCAGAATAATTCTGGTGGGCAGATTTGACAGTGTTTGCCCCAAGACATTGATTTTTGGCAGACTAATACAAACTCTTTTGTGTAGTGTTTCAAATTCTAAATTTAGAGTTTCCATGAAATTGTCATTTAGTTTAAGTTGCACTGGTTTTCTTGTAAAACGCTATCTGTGTGCCGAGTAAGAGATGGGAAGGGTCAGCGTAAAGACAGCCACAGCCTTAACAGGAAGTGACCACCTCGCACAGAAGGGAAAACAAAACATTTAACAAATTTTCTTCTTTGAAGATAAAAATTCAGTTTATCTGATGCCTCTCAACGTTAGATAGAGACATACCTTACGTGCATTATGGTTTTTAACCTTTTTAGTATTTCTCATGAAGATAGAGTTTATTTTAAATATTTGGCATAATATATTGTGTTCATTGCAGTTCAAGCCAGCAAAAAAAAAAAAAATCTTGATTATGCCAAGCAGCAACGCGGCGTGACCCCTGCAGCACGGTCTGGCTGTAACAGCGAGATGGCGGAGAACACCGCGGCCACGACCTGCTGGTGGCTCCGGTGCTTGTAACTCTGTTCTTGCTAATTTTTTTTTAAGCCTTAGGTTTTTTGGGTTTGTCTTTTTTTTTCTTCCAAAAGAGGCCTAAAATGCATCAACCTTCTCGAGCAGCGGGGTGGGGACCCGCTCTGAGGGCGCCGCGGTGCGTTTCAGTGGCGCGGGGTCGCCGGCCCCTCGGCTCCGAAACCTGCCTGCGGGTCGGGAATTCTGCCTGCCCCGGAAGGACCCGCCGGTGGTTTACGCTGCTTGTTCCTTAAAGCGAAGGTGTCTGAGGGCTCCTGAACCACATCTGCACGGGCAAGAGCAAAGTGTCTCCGTCCCTCCCCTCCCGGTTCGCGGTGAGCTGGGAGCCGCCGCCGAGGTTCTGCCAGTGAAGTTTAAATTAACGAAGTCTCCTACTGTGTAGTGGTTGTGACACGATTGGAAAACCTTGAAACGTGGAACTTCCGGGTCAGGAAAGCGTCAGATTCGACCTTGTTCCTAAAATACGTACTAGAGCTAATACCACGGGGCTGTACATACTTGTTCAGTTATTTTGACCAAAAAGTTTAATAAATTTTAAATGTTTACCTGGACTCGCTCTGTGTACTCTGACAACTTTTTCTTCCGTTTGAGAGAGAATCGGCCAAAGGCGCCGGCCTGAAGGTTGTTTGTGTTTCCGTTTTGGAACGGTCACAGCTCTACCTGGGAAAGCTCATGTGCAGCAAACGGAGCCCCGCTCTCTATTTTTGATCTATTTTTTCAGCAAATGTAAGTGGAATATGAGTAAAAAGGAGGAGGACGGGATGAAATCCTCTGTTATATAACACGATTTGCTTGTACCGCTGCCAATTAAATAGTTTTTGACGATCCATTACATTCTGATCATTTCATTTGATCCCAGAAGTGCCGATTTGATAAAATTCCTGTGTTTTCAGGTATTTGCCCCACCGCACCCTGACTGGGGGCGGTTCAGGAGCGCTGTGCTCGTGCGCCCCCGCTGCCCTGGGGGGAGCAGTGGGGGTCCCTCCCTCACGCACCCGCGAATGTCAGCGACTTCCCCACGGAACTCGGCGGCGGCTGAGGAGGGAACGGAGAGCAGCGGGTGCTAGAAATGAGAGGTAAGGGGTCAGAGAGGTGAACGCTGGCGGGTCCCTCGGGCCGGGCACGCAGCCCCTCTCGTGCCCCAGGTGGTTTCTGTGAAACCTGGGAGGGTTTTTACTTAACCCCCCCGCCAGGATTTGGGCGTTACATCGTCAGACCCTTCCCCGAGCAGGGAGCGGCGTCCGCGAGAGCGGTCCCACTGCTCACGGGGTGAACTGGCCCCGCTGGGAGGAGGTGACGCCCCCGGCCCAGGTGTGAGCGGAGATGGCAGGAGTGGGGTTTCGGGTTAAATTCGGCGCTTGGTCGTCTCTGCTGAGCACAAGCCTGGCCTGGGGCTGGGGCGGCCCGGGGAAAGGCCAAGTGGCTCCAGGAGGGAGACCTTGGGGGTGCAGTGCGGAGCGGGCCGTGCGGTGTCAAGTTTTAGCCCCCAGGGGCACAACTGGGCCTGAGGTTCATTAAAGGGAGTTATAACGAGTTATTCTTGTCTCCCTTAAGAACTAAAGCTCCTTGGACTGGAAACGCGTTGTACTTAAAATGCTACTTTATGCCATGACTGTTTCGGGGGTTTTTTTAAAGAAACTAAGTTGAGTTGCAAAAGAATTTTCCATTTTCCCCGCGATGAAGCGTGAGAATCAAACGGCTTAACGCCTCCACTGCGAGGTTTCTCCATTTCTAGCACGTGAAGGCAGTTCTGGGCGTTTCCTTTTAGCATTTCTGTTTCTTTTGGACCACTCGTCCACTGCTCCCATGGCTGCAGAGAGGCCTGTGCACTTGAAAGCTGTTCTAAAAAATTGATAACTCTGAAATTTGTATGAGGCAGCTAGTACAGAAATCAATGTTCAAAAGGCCACAGAAAACCGGTGAGACGCCCTTGCCCAATAATTGGATCATGATGTCAGATATTTTACCGTTTTAATGGCACCATGATGACTAGAGCTTTTTTCCTGAGTTTTTTTTGTTTGTTTTTAATTAACTTTCCTTTTAACATGATTGAAAGAAGCAATTATTACATACAGAGCGGTTCTGCCTGGCTCCGGGCAGCCTAAGAATTTGCTGCTCAGTCACACCGTGCCCACCTGATGATCGTTTCTGGTGTTTCACAGATTGTTTTCCTGCGGTGGGTAGTTCAGGTGTTCTGAACCATGATCCTAAAAATGTCCCGGCTGCCCCATCCTTGTGCACCCGGGCGCAGCACCAGGCTCCCTGCTGCCGCCTTCCTGACGGAACGGTGACTCCCCGCCCAGATCCTCCACACAACCAGCATCTGCGTTTATTACCGTCCCCTTTCTCGAAGAGCTGAAAAATGCACAAACCCGTGGTGATGGCTTTAGGGAAAGCAGTGCACACCCGCACACCAAAAAGGCTGTTGAAACTGCGCCCGTCCGCTGCGAGATTAAGGACATGGGTTCAGATCCTCAGAGATAACGATGCATGTAATTAATTAAAATCAATGTAAATTAAGAATGAGTAAGAATGAAGCATGTAACTACCTCTAAAACCCTCACTTGTGCTTAAGATGAAAAACAAGTTGAGCATCTGCAAATGTTTGTGGAACAAGACAGGGACTTGTCCCCTTCGCTCCCCCTTTGCTCCCTCCCTGCCCCCAGTTGCCCTTAAGCCCTTTGGTGGCCATTTGGGTGGAGCAGGGGGGTCTGGGGGCTGCAGTGACCCGCTGGGGAGGGACCACGCCAAGACCGACAGCGAACAGGCCCCTGCGCCCCTCGGCACGTCACCCCACAGGATGGTGGAGCTGGTGAGAAATAATAAATAATAATAAAGGGCACGGACATACCGCACCTGGCATTTCAAACCAAAGCAGCGGCATGAATGAGGAGTGGTTTCTGAGCAGCTGTGACAGACACGGCGCTTGCCAGGGTGCTGCTCACGGTCAACACGCAACCACCACGGTTTAACGACACCCAAGGTTTTCTGGTTTTCCCGCTCTCTGAGGGGGCGGCAGCACCCCAGGCCGCTCCCGGGTGGTCAGGGCAGGAGCTCTGCCCCGGCCACGCGGGATTTCTTTGCTTGTGTTTAAGAAGGGAAAAGACCAATGAGCCGAGGGAGCTCCTTTATACCCTGATCCCTCCCCACAGCTCCGTTCTGCCAGACACCACCCGAGCTGGTACCCAAGATGCCTTTAACCGCTTCTGTGACTGTTGGGTCCCTGGGGAGTGCCGGCGGGGGCTCCCCCACCCAGGAGCAGGGAAAGGGGTGAGACACCACCGGGGGCTTCCCTGGTAACCGGGGGGGCTGAGCAGAATCTTCTATTGAAATTCAGACACAGTGCTATTAAAAATGTATTATTTTTGCAAGGGGGGACAAGCAGCCGATCTCTCAGCAATTCTGACAGCAGTTTCAGTGGCGTTTTGGTGCAACACTGAGGTTCAACTGAGTCAGCTTAAAAAAAAACCTCATTTCACATCAGTCAGAAGTTGAAGTAGTTCTATAAATCCGCTTTTTGCTGCACACACACACAAACAGGGCTCGGTCCTGCTGCAGAGGTGTGGGATCGGCTTCATAGGAGCAACAGCAATCCTCCTCCCCCAGAAAAGGGGCTGCGGGACACGCGCCAGCCGCTGCTCCAGGAGGGTCAGTGCTGCGAGCTGAGGACAAAAATAAAGGTAGAAAGCAAATCCATTTTTAAATGATTGCAACAGTACCAAGTAGAACATGTATCTGCCAGCTCTGCGAGCTTCTGTTTGCTGGGTGACAGCTTCCAGTCTGAGCATAAGCAGCAGAATTGTTTTCTGTAGGAACTCGGCAGTTATGCAAGGGCAGTGTGAAACTCTCGCTTAAAGACAAAAGAGCCTTGTCAGCCACTTTCACAATTATTAGAGAAAAAGGAAAGAGAAAACTCCAAATCCACAAGGAACCTTTTTATTTAAATATATAAAACATGGTATTTTGGCAAACATTCATTTTCTCCTCATTAAATAAGGTAAAATCACTGAATGAAAAGGCATTCCATTAGTAAAAACAAAGAAGCAAGCAACCGTTTTTTAAATCTATACAAGGATGAGGCAAATCCAAGATGCAAATTTATTATTTTACAGATAAAAAGACCGAGAAGCAGTAGTCTGGCAAGTAGATACAACAGAAGGAACTTCTATTAACTGGGTAAATAGATGTCTTGGCAAAAGCAGCGACTTCTTAGGCACCGAAGTCCAGGTTGTAACGGAGGCTGTCGCGTGGTACCAGGGTGGCAGCGTCCCTCCCGCTCCCGTTGCCCAGCACTTCCCCTCTCACAGGAACCGAGCAAAGCCTGGAGCGAGGTCAGGGCTCCCCCCAACTCCCAGAGAGGGAGGGGAGGCCAGGCCTCGCCCAGGGCCCACCCCGTGCCGCGGGGACAGCAGCAGCGACCGACGCTCCCAGCAGCCCAGAGGAGGACCCAGCTGCACCACAACCGCTATGCTGAAGCTAGGATTGCTTTTAAACATCGAGTTCTTTTAATTTCCAAAGATACTTCACTACAAAGCAACAAAAGAGATGTTAATGCACCTGAAACAAGCTCTATGAATTGATCCAGAAGACTATATGAGATACACCGGCCGTAGTGCCCCATCTCCATCCTCGCCAGGCCCCAGCACCCCGGGCACAGGCCAAGCCCACACTGGTGGCTCAGCGCTCTCAGCCGGCTCCGCTCGTCACCCCCATCCTTCCAGGCCAGTATTTGCTTCAAGAACAGATTTCTGGGGCCTTTAAAAGGTGCTGCTTGAGGCTGTGGTCGTGAGGCGTCTTCCGATGTAAATCCTGCGGGTCAAGAGCGTGTGGTCAGTGATGCTGCAGTTCAGGTCAAAAGGGACAGAGCACACAAGGAACGTGGCTGTTGTCAGCTTTTCTCACCAGGTCACTGGTTCTGTAATTTCCAGCAGGAGCAGCAGCCCCAGACAGAATTAGTTGGGCAAATCAAGCGACTACTGTGAAACTCAGCCGGCAGCTGCTAGTGACTTTGTGCTCCCCAAGCTCAAAGACTGAGTAATTCTGTGTAAGCTGTTCAGCTTCAGGAATCTGAGCCAAGAACACACTGCTTCAGGTCTCCAAGTCAGGTATTTTATTACCTTTTCCCTTAAGTTTTTTCCATTTTCTAAATACCTCTGGGATTTGTACACCCCTCATTTCACTGCCAGCTTTGTGTGATTCTGTTCCTCCAGTCACTCCCCCGCCCAGTGTGTGTTCTCGGCTGCCCTGTGCTGCATCCCCTGCACCTTACAGAAATCACCTTTCTGAAACGAGCTGTTTCACTGACACTCCCATAAGCACTTTCTGAAGATGTGACTTTGTCACTCACTCATTTCACAGAGCTGGAATGACGCAAATTTGCAGCAGTGGTGGAAGCGACCAGGAAAAAGTAAAGCACTTATACCACCCGAAGTCTTTATTTTGAAAGGGAAATTCCATTATGCTTTTATTCTACCTCGTGCAGTCACTCATGTTCATTATGGAGGGATTTCGATGAGTTCCATGTTCCTGTCACAGCATCACCTGGCTGAGGTGCTGACGGTGTGCCCCCGGCCAGCCCCTGCGCGGGGCCCGTGCAGCTCTGGGTGCCCCTCCCAGGGTCCCTGCAGCTGCACGCAGTCCTGCCCCCCAGGCTCTCGCGCTCCGGGGCCTCGACAAGGTCAGGACTGACACAGGAGCGAGGGGAGGAAGAGGAAGAGCAGGAGCGAGGGAGGAAGAGCAGGAGCCGAGCACCCGGCTGGTTCCCCGGAGCACTCCCAGGCCCGCTGCTCCCCCCGCCCTCGGGAACCTGCCGTGCGTCGGCGCAGGGACTCCGACCCCAGCAAAGGGATTTCACCTCTTCCCTTCAGTCTGTGCCCTGTTGCTGCTTCTCAAGCAGCAGCATCTAACCCCTAAACCATCTACAGAAAACCAATCCCTGTTTGTTTGGTGTCCCCCGTCCCTCCCAGCTGTGAGCGGCACTTTAAGATAGGTTAAATAGCTCCTTTTTCCTCTGCAATTAGTTATGAGATTGAAGCCGTACCTCCAATGGAGCCAAGTCCTGTGCAAGTACACCTGCAGTTCATACACATAGCCCCCAATCTCAGCACCCCTTAAGAATTTTGAAAAATTCTCAACTAGTGAGAAAAGCAGAAAAGGAAAACCTGATACCAGCAATACCATGAGCAGACAAGTAGAAAGCACTTCCTGCATAACTGTCTGTCCCCCTTCTATGGAGGAAAGTGTCTCACCTCATCTTTCGGACAAAAAGAAAGCTGGGAGTCAGAAACAGGTGTCAGAGAAATAGGTTTAAAAAAAAAATTTAGCTTTTTTTTTTTTAGAAATTGAAACTTACCCTAGTCCAATGGCAAGCAAATGAGACAGTAGCAGAGATGGAAGAAAAACTTTCAAAAATTCTGCTGAGAATATCCCCCCTTTCTTCATCACACTGGTATTCCTCATGCTGAGAGTAGCTGTGCGCCTGGGATGTTTGAAAAGGAATTCCCTGGGTTTGAGGGAGAAAACACAGTCAGAGCATTAGCTGACACCTCCTCAGACCTGTGGAGGGAGAAGCGGCATCCAGTTCCCGCAGACACACCCCAGCACTCACTTTGGGGGGATGTTCTCCGGCCTGCTGGACCAATCCCATATCCAATCTGCATTCTTCTTCAGGAGCCTTTCTACTTCTTTCCTCCTTTCAAGAAAATCTTCTTCAGACTAAAAAAAAAATTAAAAAAAATTAAAAGCACCATTATCAAAGAGCACTGACAGCACTCAGACCCGCGCTAGGAGGCACTGGGAGCGCAGGTGAGGCGAGCCCAGGTCCATCTGCACAGAAACCACCCCAAACAAACACGGCTTTGCCTTCAAAGGACTTACAGCATAAATGCTGAGTAAGAACAGAGCTTCTGGCTTAATACACGTGTTAAACAGAGCCAAGGTCTTGGGGTAAAAATAGTGTCTGATCGTGGAATTAAAATAGCCGTATGGGCACGTGTACACGCAGGAATGGAGCCGCGACTGCCTGGGCAGCTGTCGCTCTGGTGGGTTTCTGACTTTGGATTATTTGTTCTCAAGGTCTAAATAATGATCATTAAACAAATAAAGAGTTTCCTGGAAATACAGAATAATTAATTTCCAGCAAGGTATCTAGCTAACCTAGGGCGGTAATTCACTGAGCTGGGTTGGGCCGGAGTTGGAGAGCTGAAGGGGACAGCTGCAGATGAAGAGGCAACGGGACCAAGCACATTCCACGGCAGTTCGAGAACTGATTAAACCTCTGTGTTGTTGGTACAGCTGTGTAACTCAGAAACTGCATGACGTTGAAACCCCCCAGGGTTAAATACTGTACAGAGAGCGAGCCCAGGCTTTGCTTTAGAAAGCAGAGAGAATCCAGGAGCGAGTGAAGACAGCCAGGGAATGAGGCGAGCCCGGCAGGACGGTGCCCAGCACCTCAGCTGCACACGGTAAAGTCACGGACAGAGGGCAGTGCTGGGAGCCAGCACTCGTCCAAAGAGCAGAGCAACTCACTTTAAAAGCTTTTAATACTTCACTCCTCAAAATGTTTTGTAAGTAAATTTTCTCATATGAAGTGTCCAAGTACAGGGAAGGCTCAGGGATTTAGCCTGCCACCGTGCGATATATTGATAAAACATCATGAACATGCAGTTACCCTTTTCCCCCCACGCTTTTCTCAAATATATTTACTAATTTTCCTTGCAAGCATGCAAAGGTACGAAATGAAATGAGAGGTAAGGGTGAGCTTTTCAGCGCAGCAGGCGGGAACGCTGAGCACTGGCTGCTAACCCCAAGGGCTGGGCAGAAGCCCAGGTTACTGCCCGCCACGGCGCCGGGGCTCCGGAGATTCTTGCAGCTGTCAAATTCAGTTTGTAAATTCATCATGCACTGGGGGTAGCGCATTTAAATCAACTTTCTCTGTGGGGGGATGCCTAAAAGGTCCCAAATTGTCAGTCGGTGGGGTTAGGGGGAAGTTCTCCGTGCTGAGCTGCCCCCAGAGCATTCCCAAGGCCCGCACCCCCCCTCGGCCTGTTACACCCACAGCACAACCCACCCACCGAGGGGAGGGGAGCAGCGTCCCCTCCACAGGGCAAAAGCCACGACAGAGAACCCCCCTCGGGATCACCAGGAGCTGGAGGCTTAGCAAGGCGCCGACTCCAGCTCTCCTGAGCCCAGAGTAGAGCCGATCTCCTGGGTTATCTTTTCTCTAAAAGCTCCGTGTAGGACCTGAAGGTCGGCCCTTTCAATCTGTGGTTGGAAGAGGCATTTGTGAACCCAGCCATTTTAAAATCGATGAAGGCACCTAAATCTGCCTGAAAAATCTCAGGTTACAGATTAACAAAAAAAAACAAACCCCAAAAAAACATGCAAGTCAGAAATACACAAAGCCTGATTCTGCAAAGATCATTCTAAGTTACGAAATTATTACAGTCTCCGCATTAGCAGCTTCACCTCTTATCTCCTCATGCCGATTTCCAAACAAGAGTAAGAAATTCTCTCCCAAAGCAAGATGAGGCTTTTACCTGAAAGCTGTTCTTTTCTCCACTGCTGTGACTCTCTATTTCCAAAGCTCTGTGACTGTCCTGAGGTGTCTGGGAACGAGGAGGGCTTGATAAAGAGAGAAGCACGGGTAAGAAAGAACTCATTACATTTTTTATGACCTGGGTTATGGTATGCACTAAAAGCGAGTCAATGGAGCCCCTATGTGCAGTTCTCCCAAAGAGCCACACCGCCCTCACCATAATTTAAGAGATTCATCTGTCAATGGTGACATAATCCAGCCATCACAGTCAATTAATCTTTGATTTTCTACCAATCTGCTGTGCACAGAGCTGTTTTTCAGCAGGGCAGAGATGCCTGTGAGGCTCTGTCATTCGTCCCGTGTCACTTACTAACAACAATGGGCAGCAAATGATGAATAGGAGTTTGATTTGAATTCAAACTCACCAGGTGAGACCAGGAAGTTCTGCACCCTACTGTCTATTCTGAGCCCTACAGTTTCTTTTTTTTCTTAAAAAAAACTTCAGACTGCAGACTTCACAGCCCATCAAAATCAAATAAATAAATCAGTAAGACTGACGGACAATTTGCATCAGATGCAAGTGGCTTTGTTGTGCTGTACTCCTAGGAATGTTTTGTGAACTAGACATAGGACAATTCTCTAGCAGTGACCAAAGCAACAGGAACGGATGTACCTCACTACAAAACACAAGCTGTGATCCCCTTTCTGTGGCAGTGCTGTTGCAGGCAGCAGTGTCAGCAGCAGGACACGCTGGGGCACGGCGCTGACACTGCCTGCACAGGGGCTGACCCTTCGCCACGGCCGGCAGCGTACACACACCTCAGCGGGGTTTATTCAGCAGAGCCAGGCTGGTGCCTGCACACAGCAGCACACCCGCAGGACACCCAGCTGCTGCTGCCAGACCCCTGCATCAGGACACACCAAAACGCCCAGAGAGCATCTTCCCGAGACACCCTCCGGAGTGTTTCCCCTCTAACTTCCTCCTGGTTTCAGCACCCAAGCACTGCTCTTAAACACCAATCTCCTAGCAACCTTAAATACTGACCTTCTAAATATGAAATTTTCCCATCTCCTCTGCATGCGTGTGTGTATGTGCATATGTAAGTACACAGACGTACATAAGCTCTTTGCCTCTTGTGCACAGGAACAGCTTCGTGCAATAGCCACCTTCACTTTCCTGACAGTAGAGCACGTCGTTTACCTGTCACAATGTGAACTTTCTCGTGAACTGCTTCTTCCAGATTCGTGCTGAGCATCGAGGAGTATTTTCTCCATGTCACCATTGTGAATGGAAATAGAGGCTGGTACTTGTTCCTGGCCCACCGGAGTGGCAGTGCTTCCACTGCCGTTCCCATTGCTGCTGAAGTGGAGCTCCACCCAGGAACCTGCTTGGCACAATCAAAACCAGAACCAGAATAAACCAAGTGGTTTTGCGAGAAAGGCATGTAGAACATGAGACTGTTGATCCTCCCCAGCGTGACATTACAGGGTGACACGCAGAAGTACCAGCACTGACATCTCGGCTAATAAACATGGTGAAGTGCCAAAATGCTGGGGGGCTTTTGTAAGCGAGCTGGAAAGCCTCACAGAACTGAAGGAGCTGGTCAGGACAGCACGTTTCCTTCTGCAGCTGAAGATCTTGTCTTTTGGGATGTGTTTAATTGTTGTTGCTCAACATGGGTGGTGGCCAAATAAAAGAATCTCAAGGACTTTCTCTGCCACAGCTTATTTATTCATTTTTTGAAAATATTTTAGGCTCGAGAACCCAATACCTGCATTTTGTTCAGCCTGTTTTCCACAGGCATGTTTAGGTGTTACTGTGAAGCAATAAAGGATATGTGGCAACAACCAGATCATGTGTTGGCTACGTGCAGTACATTTAACACCAACAGTCACATGTTGCTTTGTTTTTTTAAGAGTGTGCTGAATAACAACTCTCTTCTGGGCCAGCAGTGGCCAACGCACAAAAGGACCCGGATCTGTTGCCTCATTTATAAAGCAGCTCGAGGGACAGGTATCACCTGAATGATATAAATGTCAGTGGAATTCACCTCTGTAACTTGTTTCTGTGTGAACACCACCACAAGCACATAGATGTGCTGTGCCCATCCTAGCAGAGTTGACAGGGAATCCAAGAGCAGTTACAGGAGGAGGAGGGCAGGTGGGACTCCCCGGGCTGTGGCGGGCGCAGCAGAAGGGATGTCTGAGACACAGGGGTGTTCCGACCCTTCCCGCTCCCGAGGAGAGGCTGGGCCAGAGCTTAGAAGTAAACCACGTTCAGGAGAACAGTGGAAGGAATAAAGGGGCAGACTTAAAGGTGGGGTGAAGCCAAGGCAGAGACACTGTGTGAAATGGAAACACGAAATGAAGAAAGATACTCCGGTTGTGGAGAGGCTGAAGGTTCATAAATTAAATGAAAACAGCAAAAAGCCAAATTGCTAAATCTGCATTAACATTAGCAGCTCTCCTCTAAGAAGCCAGATGATCACAAAACCAGAAACAAGCAGGGTGACTGAGTTTTGAAGAAACATTTTTTTGGATAGGCTCTTCTACTCCACAACCAGCTTCTTGTTTTGGTCGCTCTGTGGCTTCTGCCCCTCCACGTGACTGTCCCTGGTGTATGTCTGGGTATCTGCTTATACCCAGACAAACTTTCTCCTACTCCTTCCCCCAAAATTTATGAAGGCCAAAGTGGTTTCCAAAGAACAATCACAACCACTGGAGTTTAAACAGAGACGAGTGTCCAGCTGGCTCTGGATCCCGCGAGTCCCCCTCTCCTTGCTCCCCAGCACATCCCACCTCAGCTCCTGCTCCTCTCCCAACAACAGCAGAACAACTCCGTGCTGCGTGGGCTGCACCACAACGCTCCGCACACACGGCCACAAGCGATCTCCTGCTGGGAACATGCCCACTATCCGGGACACGCTCCCGCTTCCACAGTCACCAGCACCCACAGGCAAACCTACACCTCCAGGCAGGCACTGACGCTGCCGCCTGAAACCTGGCTGCATCCACACAGCCAGCGCAGGGGAAAACAGGGAGAAGACAAAGATTACATCAAAACAATCACAGGACATGTGTTTTACACGTTTCTTTTTTTTTTTCCTTTAGGCGCTCTTGCGAGTAAGGTTGCAGCAGCAGACTAGGAATGTGCTGCTATATAATCCTTTAAAGATAAAAGAGCTGGCATTTTTATGAAGCTGGAAATATAAACAGATAAAAGCAGGCGTAACGTGGTGACAAGAACTGAACAGACCGAGTCGTGGGGAAGGATTCTGAAGAGAATGATCTCACATGGTATTCCAGCTCGGGATACCTACTGTAGGACTCCAGATAAGCATTGCAAAAAAGTACCGATCGGCTCTGAAAACCTCTATTTCTTAATATATGGCTTTCAAAATGGGAAATAAAAAAGCAAAATTCCACAGAAAGATGAGAACATCTCCGTAAATTGCTAAAATCCCGTGGAAATCACACAATCTGGTGTGTAGTTACACCCAGATGTTCCGCCCGCGAGGTAAATCCGCTGCCGGTTCCTGCCGGCTCCCTCCTCCCGGCGGATCCCGGCCCGACCGCGGGCGGCTTGTTCAGGCCAGGGGGTTTGATGGGGGGTTCACCACCGGCCTCTCTCACGGGGGGCTCACCACCGGCCTCTCTCACGGGGGGTTCACCCCCGGCCTAGCAG